GGGGCGAGCGGGGGGCTCGGGGGAGGGCGCTGGGCAGGGCGGCGTCCCCCAGCGGGCGGGCGGTGTCGTACCGGGGAGGCGGAGGCCCCTTCGCCCCCGTGTCCGTGCGGTTGTGCCCCGGTGTGTGCCCGGCTGGCTGAGTGTGTGTGTCTCACTGCCCTGCACGGCAGGCTTCGTGCCCGGTGTCCGGCGGGTGGGTACGACGCGCTCCCAAGCTTGCTGGGGAACACGGGCTGCCGGGTTTGGGAGCAGCGGGGAACAGATCTCCGCTGTGTAATGCCTTAAGATAATGGTGATACCCGAAATAACTTCAGAATAGATGGATTTATGGCTAATCGTGCTTGGCAGCCTGACTAGATACAAAGATAGTGTGTACCCGAGGACAGGCGTGGGAAGGACACCTGGTTGCTCCTGCTTCATTCCTAAAAACAAAGACTAATTTGGGCTGGAAAACATTCCTGGAGGTGGTTCAGCCCAAGAAGCCATATGTGGTCCAGCACGAGTGCCCAGCAGAGGCTCGTGTGGATGCTCGTGAGCAGGGGGGCAGGAGCAGGACAGGCCCAGCAGAACCTGGAAATGGATAGTTTAGTTCCAGCACAATTACTTGTTTTGACTTTTGTCAAAATATGCTCTTGTATTTTTCATATGTAAACACTGGTCTCTTTTGGAAGCATGTTTCAAAGGATACCGTGTTAATCATAAACTTACTACATCAAAGCAGTTGTTCATGAGTGAGGTTGAAGACAGAGCCCTGCCTGTTCCCTTCACACATACCTGCATTATTCACACTCTGTTTAAAATGAAGCCCTGAAGAGCCAGATCTCCCTGTGAGGAGGAGCCAAGCAAAGTGGTCAGGTTGTGCTTCCTCTTTGTTTGGTGCTCTCTTGGTGCCAGCACAGGGTTTTGCAGCCTTGAAGGTGACTGGTAGGGGTTCCTGTGTCTAAACTTTAACTTTTTTGGCTTTCTGAGATAGCGATGATCTTTTGTGTCTTTCTCTTGTAGAACATGGCTTCAGCAGAAAAGGAATTTTCACAAGACAGCAATTTTTCACCAAAAGGTGGCACCAGCCAGCTGCCAGCAGATCCATCTCCTGACTCTAAATGCCCCATCTGCTTGGACAGATTTGACAACGTTGCCTGTCTAGATTGCTGCTTTCACCGGTTCTGTTTCATCTGTATCCAGGAGTGGTCAAAAAACAAAGCAGAATGTCCCCTCTGCAAGCGACCCTTTTTTTCCATTTTCCACACCATCCGTGCTGACGATGACTTTGAAGAGCATATACTCAGCCTGTCAGAAAACAGCCCTACCTCAGCGAGGGAGCACCGCGCTGGAAGTTCCCCTGCCCCAAGGCTGCTGTCACCAGATCGCGGGGTGCTGTTTGAAGGGCTCTCTGACGAACCAGTGTGGGAGACGGTTGAAGAGATTCAGCTTGTGACAAGGACTCTGGCCTGGAGGAGGCAGGCGAGGGCAGAGGGCACATCTCTGCCACAGATTCCGGAGGAGGACATGATCAGCTTCCGCAGAGCTCTGTACCGCCACGCTGTGCGGGTTCGCAGCATTCAGGACGGTGGCCGCTATCGAGACGTTTCAGCAAAGTTTTTCCGCCGCAACCCTGCTTGCATTCACAGGTTGGCTCCGTGGCTGAAGCGAGAACTTACAGTCCTGCTTGGTGCCCAAGGATCTCTGGCTAATTTTGTGCAACACATTATCATGAGTAACGTGACTAGGCATGATCTGGAAAGTCAGGCCTTTGCTGACAAGTTAAAGCCATTGTTGCTGAATTGGACAGAACATTTCTTACATGAATTCATCGCTTTTGCCCGTTGTCCTTTTAACTTAGAAGCATATGATCTATATGCCAATTATGACTGTCCTGCACCATCATACAATGAAGGAAACCACTCAGACTTATCAATTATTACATCTCCAGATACGGCATATTCTCAAGGGTCAGATAACAGGTGGTCTGGGACTGGTCTTGGTCAGGCCCCCTGGGATGATGAAACTCAGGGGCCTTCCTATTCCATTTCAGAAGAGGCTCATGCAACCATAGCTTCTCCTCTGAAGACGTCAGAAAGTTCTGATGAGGGCTCTGCTGCACAGAGTCGAAGAACCAAACTGCAGACTTGGTTACAGGCTAATGCTGACTTGAACAACAGTGACTCTTCCTTGGACAGTTCTGTTATTGTTGGGTCTGTTAAGCCATTAGCTGAGAGGATACCAGAGGTGGTTGAGCTGTCCACGGACACTGAGGAAGAGCAAAGGGAAGATGTGAAGAAACAGCGGCCAATCCAGTGTCACAGCTGCAGTGACAGTGAACCAAGCAGGAGTTTATCACCACATTCCTCGACCTATAAGGAGGATGTGGGTATTTGTAGAAGCTGCTTATCTCCTGCAGTTGAGAAGACAGAGTCAAAGGATGACGAGAAGAACAAATGTAAAGTACAAGATGAGTCTCCATGGGACTTGAGCTGGAGCCCCTCTCTGGGGAGCGACACACTATGCTCCCCTTGGAATCACCGACTGTCTAGAAAGGGAAAGTCCAGGAGCCCACAATCCTGTTCACGAAACAGCTGCAGTCATGGCCATTGGTCTAGGAGGGAGCATCATAGCAAGAGCCAACTTAAAAGGAGACAGTCAAGAAGCAGAGATAGTAGTAAACACAGGAGCAAAAGAAGCAGCAGGCGATCAAGGGCTCATGACACCAGAGAGTCTCTAAAAAGCCAGAGAGGCTCATTAAGATGTGAGAGCACTCCATCCAGAGAAGTAAGCAGATCACGATCACGTGGCAAAGGCCATGGCAAAAGGAGATCAAGAAGCAGAGACAGTGATTGTTGCTGTGTGAGAGACAGTTATCAAAGTAGATGCTGGTGGGGATGTGTTTTATGTAGTCAGAAGGTGTTTGGAGATGACAGTGAATCCTCGGGCAGGAGGAGGACTCAGCCTAATGCCCCCTGTTCCAGGCAATCTGATAGCCCAGGACACAGGATACGGTCACTTACCGAAAGGAGAGATCCGCGTAGCCAGAGGGGACGTTGTGAGAGACGCTGTTACTGTTATGGAAAATGCAGGTCAAGGAGTTGGTCAAACAACAGGTCAAGGACCCCTTCTGGAGGGACTGACAGAATGAAAAGTGAAAAGCCTGGTGGAAAAAAGAAGTACAAAACTCACCACTTGGAGAATGCATCCCCGGAGAGCACAAGTCTAGAGGGAGAAGATGAACCCAAGAAAACTTCCTCAACATTCAGTGACTGCCTCAAAAATGAAGACAGCCTTTCAGACAGTCGAGCAAGCAGTGAGACAAAGCATAAGAAAAAAAGAGTGAGGAGTCCGAGTGTGGAGATAGTCTATGAAGGAAAAGCAACAGACACTGCAAGGCATCTTAAAAAGAAAATGCGTAAGAAGAAACACCGGAAACGTCACATGAGTAACTAGGCACGTTACCTGGGCCTCACCACCACGTCTGGGAAGGCACCGGCCTGGCTGTAGCCTTGGCAATCAAGCAGCTCCTGCTTTAGCCACCGCTGGCCCAGCCTGGCTCACCCTCGCTGTCCTGCTGCCTGGGTGTGCCGGCACAGGGCTCAGGCAGGGGCTCGTGGCCCGGCTCTGGGCCTTCTCTGCGTGCGCAGCAGCAGCTCTTGGGGCTGAGGCAGGAAATTGCCTTGTGCCTCTCCTGAGCTACTGCCTCCAGGAGCAGGGTCTGACCTGGGTTTGTTGCTGCCAGATGGACACCAGCTGCTCTGTCCTTCCCCTCCTCCACAGGCTGGGGACAAAATGTGAGAAAGCCAGGGAGGAGCCTGCGACCAGGCAGCGCCCAGTGGCACCGGCAGCCCTGGCACAGGTGCCCAGACACACCCGGCGCTCAGCCAGTCGCCCCCCCGCAGTGCTGGGCCCCTACTGTACCCTCCTCTTCCAGGGAGGAAGAGAAGGAATGAGATGCTGGGGAAGTTTTATTATGGCAGGAAATGAAATGTGTGCACTGGCAGGATCTGTGCACCCGCTCTCTGGTGATTAATTATTTCAAGGCTTTGAGCAGGGGGGCCTGGCAGCAGTTTGCAGCTTGTTTCTGTGTGTGCCTCTGGGCACAAGCAGCTGCTGGACATGGTACTGATTTTGCTATCAAATGAAATGAAATTATGTTTGCTTTTAATATGAGTATAAATAGATATTTTAGTAGAAATCATTTGTTCACATTTATTGCACTTTATACCAGCAACTGAATGTTACTCTAAAATCCCCTGTGTAGCCCCGTACCAAGGCCAAAGGGATGGGACAGAATTATCTAGTAGGTGTTTGGAACCTAGGTAACAAACACAAGTTGATTTGTAAACTGATTTGTGAGACATACATAGAACTAGAAGAAAGCACGTAGCTGTCAAGGTCTAAGATTAATGGGAACTGAGGAAAATCAACTGTAACAGCTTGCAGGTACCTGCCAAGAAACCGTGAACTTAAGCAGAAAGTAATTCTGGCAGGGAGAGATCGTGACCCCTGACTCATGGACCACCTACCCGTATTACACCCCAGACCCATTTCTAGACATTTCTAGCTGTAATTTTGGTGCTCGGTGTGCGTTGTTGGTGAGACGACTCCCCTGCGCACCCGACCATTAGTAAAGAAGCGTCTGGTTATCTACATCACATTGGTGTCGGTAAGTTTTTATCCTGGTTCTTCGGTGACAGTCTGAGCAGCGAGACCTGGCCTGGGATGCTCACGGGGTGGGGAAGGGGCTCTCCGACAGCTGCTCAGACACCCCCCCCCCACTTAATGGAAATGACAGGTTCACTCCCAAAGGCAGGGCCTTGCTGCTGGGCAGGTCCTGGGCCAGATGGCTCCATCTGCCCCCCTGGGCTTTTCTTGTGTTCCCCCTTTGGAGACAAATCCACACTGAGCTGAACGGCCACAGCATTTATTTATTTTTCCCCTCTTCTTTTTTTATTTTGGTCCTTCTTGTTCTTCTCTGGTTTGTTGTAGTTTGAACTCAGCCAGCAGCCAATCGCCACGTGGCCAGTTGCTTACTTCCCACACACCCCACCTCCCCAGTGAAACAGGAGGAACAAAAGAAGAAATTAACAGGTTGAACAAAAAAGATTTACTAATAGTATCAAAATCAACAGTAACAACAGCAAGTACAAAAGAGGTAAAAGTGGTCACTGAGCAGTGACCAGTCCGGGCCCGTCCCAGCAGTGATCCAACTGCACTAGAGAACCTGCCACCACCTGGGAACTGAAACGGGGCACGGGGGGGGCAGCGTCCACCTGGACACTGAGTGTGACGTGACCCTATGTGGAACGCTCCAACCCAGCCCTGCCCTCAGCCGTGCTCCCCTCAGCCAAGGAGAGGGAACTCCAGCCTGGCCCAGAGCAGGACAGGGCTTAGCTGGTTCCTGCTCTCGCCCTCAGCCCGTGCACCGGCACTTGGTAAATGCAGGTGTACTCAGGTTTCCCCAGCTGCTCTTCACAAGGAATTTGATGTGTGAAAAGGCTCTGGGAAATGGCATGGTGTGTGAAGACAAAAGGGAAAAGGAAGCAGAGGTGTTAAGAGTGATGGTGCAGTCAGTCCCTCCCTGCCAGCCCTGTTCCTGCTCAGGAACCAGCTCCCAGAGGCGGATGGGAGCGGCTGCTGCCATCGGGGTCACTGCTGGTGCTGGGGAGGCCAGGACATGGGACAGGGAAAGGCTCCTGGCCTCCTCTGCATGCCAGACCAGCTGGGGCTGTGCCTCCCTTCCCCCTGTGCCACGGTCCACTCAGTGGACTCGTGATGGTTTGTTTGCTAAGATCTCTAAAGTGCAAAACTAAGGTGACAAACACCAAAGGGGACAGCAGTAAACAGACAGTGAAACTTTATTGTGTTGCCCGTGAAGCGCCACATGATAGTTAAGAGATGGGTGAAAGAAAGGAGAAAAATAAAGTTCAGAGAGAGGGGGGAGAGAGGTTATAGCTACCAACGCTGATCACAGCATCCGAATGGTCTCGGGTCCAGCTGATGCTGCGTCTTCGATTGTTGTGGTCCATGGTGGGGAAACTTCCATTTTTCGTTGTCCAGAAGTCATCTTTTTATGCTCAGAAACACACCTTGGTCCACCCTGCCTCAGAGGTCTCTACCCTTCTCAGAATTCAATTATCATATCTCTGCCTTTCTCAAGTGAGGCCATCACCATGCACAGTGGGGGGCATCCGAGGCATGGTCAGTCTTAGAGGTGGCAGCCTTCCACCAGGAGGGGTGCTTTGGTATTATAATGAAGCAAAGTTCATTTAAGGTTCATGATTTCTTCACCGATGTTATGGTAATAGTTGTGATCCATCTTTTCTGACAGTGGCTATGCGGTTATCTCTGACAGCTCCGGCCAGGCCCAGGCACCGAAAAATAGCCCAGCGCTGCCTGCACCGCACGGTCAGTGCTCAGAACAGCCCAGCGCTGCCTGCACCGCACGGTCAGTGCTCAGAACAGCCCAGCACTCGCTGTGCTACACAGTTCTGCATTCAGGAGCCTCAACACCACCTTCCACTCCAGGAATCGGCAACTGTTCCAGGTAGGCCGCTGTCAGGTACCTCCCTATTCACATCCCTGATGACAATGTTGAGACAGTGCTGATCTTCTGACTGACTCTTACACCCTGCCCCTTGCTCTGCGCTGACAGAGAGGCTGGGGAGGGGCTCCCGCGCGTGGGGCAGCTGGTGTGCAGCCCCCCAGGCCCGCTCTGCCCGCCTTCCTCCTGGCAGGGTGAGCACTGCAGAGAAGGGGATGCTCTGCTGCGAGGAGAGGGCTCTGTCCAGCTGCCAGGGGACCACGGGATGCAGCGATGGTGCTGCCCGGCATCTCTGGCCACTGGCCATCCCTTTTTCTCCAGGGCACACAGGCACCATTCGGTGGAGGGGCTGTGTATGCAGCTGGCCCTGCTGAGGGCACTGCCTGCAGCCAGGGCCGTCTCAGGACTCATGCTCCCACAGTGTGACCTTGCCCTTGCTCTCCTTTTGGTATCACCACCGCCTGCTCCTCAGCTCTGCCAGCCCCGCAGGGCTCTCTGGACATGGGCCCGGGGCCCTGTGCCCAGGGAGGAAGCGTTCACACCCCACTGCCATGGGCTCCCAGCCAAGCCTGATTTGCTCCCCAGCATCCTGCCCCCGCACATGGAGTGTACCTTCAGAGGGAAGGTCTGAGTGGCCTCTTTGGTCATGTCATAGGTGAACATAAGGAGCAGCACTTCCTCCTCTCCATCCGCGTCCAGTACCTTGGGGCCAAAGCACAAGCAGAGCAGTTCAGACTCGGCCCCACGTAGGGGATGTGCCTGCTGGCTCAGCCCGGGCAGGTACCTGGCCTCTCCTGGGCTTCAGCAGCCATCTGACACTGCCCAGGATGGAGCTCAGTCTCCTCAGGATCAAGAACCTGGAGGTGCTTTGGCCAGAATATGTCCTGAGAGGGATGTAACCTCTGGAGCCCTTGAAGCATCCCCCCAGGGCAGCACAGTGCTCAGCAGAGAGCAGGACACAAACCCCAGAGGGTGCAAAAAAGGCAGTAGGCAAGTCCCTGTCATGGCTTTCCCCCAGGGCCAGACCCCACCAGACACGCCCAGCAGAGACTTATGAAGACAGCGACGTGCTGGCGATGGTCCCAGACGGAGACACCTCTTTGTAGGTGTGCTGCACACTGACAGTTGGATGGACTTGTGCTGGCAGCCTGATGACCACCTGGCCCTGGTGCCCTTGGAGAGGCCAGCAGTTCCGTGGGGACACATCCGGCTGCAGAACGAGAGAGCAGAGGGGTGAGAGTGCATTGGGGACAACACAGCTCATGCCGCTCGGAGCATGGGACCAGTGTGTCTGGGGGGGCTATTGCAGCTCGGAAATGAGGTGCCTGTGAGGAACAGACAGAAGCAGGTGACCTTTCCTGCCTGACAGAGGGGGGTCTCAGTGTTATAGAAAAGAGGAGAATGCTGGTTATGAAACCACCCTAGCCTTACAGAAACACTTCTCTGCCCAGTGGCTCAGCAGGGTACCCCCACCTCCCGCCTCCCACCCCTGAAAAGGCACCGTTAGGGACAGGTGTGGAAAGGGGGTCACGGGGAGAAAGTCTTTCATTCAGCTGGGACAGAGGCCTGTGGGCAAGGGGCAGCAGTTCCTGCTCCTGAGGGGAACTGCTGATCTCCAGCAGGCCCAGCCCGGTGTCCGAGCTTTGGCTTCAGGAACCTGATCAGCCCTGTGGGCTGGAGCAGCACTGCCCTGGACTGAGGGGAGAGCCCTGAGGTTGGTCCCAGCTTCACAGGAAGGAAGGAAACCAGCACTGGTGAGTTCTGCAAAATAGCATCAGGAGGGTGTTTTGCTGATTAGGGACACCAATTAAACTCAGACACCAGAATGAAAAGAGCAGGCATATTTTACCAGAAATAACTAAGTAATATAACATAGAAATACAGAAAACATACAGTAAGAAAAGAC